TGCCCAGGCTGGTCTTAAACTCCTGGGCTCAAGCACTCTGCCCACCTCGGCCTTCCAAAGTGCTAGGATTACAGGCGTGAGCTACCCCGCCTGCTGTGTTATTTTCACAACAATCAGTTCCTTCTTCAATTGGATAACACTATTTTCTATCACTATCTCTTCTTCCCTATTTTAATTTTACTGAGAAAACTTAATCCTTTTAGTCACATTTTACTAATTATAGCTTCTGCCATCGTGAGGCATTTTTTTCTTTTAATGACCATTATTTTTACCAGGTTCAGTTTTCTTAATGTTAGCCTGAATCAGTTTTATTTTGCATTGAGTTTATTGACTGTGTCCAGTTTTTTCTGGTAACTGAGTCACAGCATCCTCAACACGGAAACTTCAGCATCTCAAAGTCCTCTGCTTTGGGCCTCTCTGAAATAAACAGGCTGTGGGCTTCCCTCCAGCTGCCCTCAGGACTATCCACGTAGGAGGGATCAGGGCTTCCTTGGAGATTTCTAGCCAGCCTTTAATATTTTGCTAAGGCACCACTCTTCAAGGCTCCTGGCCAGCATGAGGGAAGAAGGTATCCATGATCTGTGCTCCTGCTGGGCATGAGGCCTCAGTACACCAGCGGCTGGGGAGGGCTGATCATTCGCATTGCTTTTAGGGCTCACTGAACAGCCAAGCCCTTGACAGGCTTCTCCCCCTGGGACTCCCCAGCCACCCAGTGTGATGGGAAGATGGCCATCCCCCACTTTATAGGTGAGGTGTCTGAGGCCCAAAGCCGCAAGGTGAATCGCAGTTCTGCCTGGCCACACCGCACCTTCTCCCCATTCAGTCCTTACCAAATGAAGGAATCAGTGGCAGCTCCGGCAGGCTCCCACCCAGGGCGCCGAGACCACGGGTTCAGGTGCTGTGCCCAAGAGGAAAGTGGAGCATCTCCTAGCTCTGTCCTCCCCTGTCCACCCCCAGGACCCGAGCTGCTTTCCACCAAGGAGGGAGCTGGGAGGAGAAAATTGAAAAGATGTTGAAATTCTCCAAAATAGCATCTATTCAATTTCCCACAGTACCGGGGGAACCAGCCCCCAATATTTCAACATAGGTTCTTTTCTATTTTCCCTACGTGTCGGCCGGTCTGAGAAATAAAGAGTACAAAAGAGAGAAATTTTACAGCTGGGTCTCCAGGGGTGACATCACCTCAGCAGGTTTCGTGATGCCCCCGAGCTGCAAAACCTGCAAGTTTTTATTAGCGATTTTCAAAGGGGAGGGAGTGTACGAATAGGGTGTGGGTCACAGAGATCATATGCTTCAAAGGCAATAAAATATCACAAGGCACATGGGGGCAGAGCGAGATCACAAGTCCAGGGTGAAATTAGAATTGCTGATGAGGTTTCCTGTCCCACTGTGTACGCATTGTCATTGATAAACATCTTAACAGGAAACAGGGTTCGAGAGCAGACAACTGGTCTGACTAGAATTTCGGTCTGACTAGAATTTCACCAGGCTGGAATTTCCCAATCCTAGCAAGCCGGCGGTGGGGGCACTGCAGGAGACCAGGGCATAGTTCATCCCTTATCTACAACGGCATGAGACAGACACTCCCAGAGCGGCCATTTTAGAGACCTCCCCCCAGGAATGCATTCTTTTCCCAGGGCTGTTCCTTGCTAAGAAAAAGAATTCAGGCCGGGCACGGTGGCTCAAGCCTGTAATCCCAGCACTTTGGGAGGCTGAGACTGGCGGATCACGAGGTCAGATCGAGACCATCCTGGCTAACACGGTGAAACCCCGTCTCTACTAAAAAATACAAAAAACTAGCCGGGCGAGGTGGCAGGCACCTGTAGTCCCAGCTACTCCGGAGGCTGAGGCAGGAGAATGGCGTAAACCCGGGAGGCGGAGCTTGCAGTGAGCTGAGATCCGGCCACTGCACTCCAGCCGGGGCGACAGAGCCAGACTCCGCCTCAAAAAAAAAAAAAAAGAATTCAGCGATATTTCTCCTATTCGCTTTTGCAAGAAGAGAAATATGACTCTGTTCTGCTCGGCCTTGCAGGCAGTCAGTCCTTATGGTTATCTCCCTTGTTCCCTGAAAATCACTCTTATCCTGTTATTTTAGGATGCCCAGATTTCATATTGTTCAAACACACCTTTTATGATTTGTACAGATAATGCAATCATCACAGGGTCCTGAGGCGACATACATCCTCAGCTTACAAAGATGATGGGATTAAGAGATTAAAGACAGGCATAGGAAATTATAAGAGTATTGACTGGAGAAGTGATAAATGTCAATGAAATCTTCACAATTTATGTTCTGCCACGGCTTCAGCCGGTCCCTCCGTTCGGGACCCCTGACTTCCCGCCACACCACAGCACTTCATTTCCAACAAATGAAATGAAAGCCATGCCAAAATGAATGAAAGGAATGCCACCCCACCCCACAGTCCAGACAGAAGTTTGGCTCAAATATCTGATCTGCTTTCCCACTGGTTCTGCTCTATGGGAGAGTGCTCTAGACTTTTGAATACATATAGGAAAAAGTGATTCCCCATTAAAGATGTGAACATTTCCAAATAACAAAATCACGTGGCAAAACCGAGCATTTCTGTTGTTTGGGGCCATTCCTGTAAACCACGTCTGTTTGCCCCTTACTGCTCCATTGCTCCACAGCCACCAAACTTCCCAGCCGACTTGAGACACAGGCTAGCTGAGCGCTGTGGCTCCTGCCTGCAGTCCCAGCACTCTGGGAGGCCGAGGCAGGAGGACTGCTTGAGCCCAGGAGTTTGAGACTAGCCTGGGCAACACAGGGAGACCCTGTCTCTACCAAAAACTAAATAAAAATTATCCAGACCCTGTCTCTACCAAAAAACAAAAACTAAAAATTATTGAGGCTGCAGTGAGCCAAGATCATTCCACTGCACTCCAGTCTGGGTGACACAGCAAGACCCTATCTCTAAAAAAATGACACAGGGGGCCCCTGAAAATAATTAGCCATCCCTCAAAGCTGCTGGAATAGGGAAGACTGGGGACAGGGAGCAGCGTGATGCCAAGGACAGACCTCCAAACCGAGGTCACAGGGTGGCCCAAGGCCCTGGTCATCAGGGCAGCTGCCTCTACAGTGGGCGTAATTCCAGGCAGTAGCTGCCAAGCTGAGTGGGCACTCGTAAGCAGAGAAGTGCCCATCTTCTGATCAACCCAGAGATTTGCATCTCTCCGTCCTGCCCAGACAGTCTCTGGCAGGAAGCCCCAAGCCCCAGCCGACACTGTACCACGCTCAGGGAGGAAGAAACTGTGCAGCACAGCCCAACACCATTTTCCCCTTTTGGCTTTCTAGAATAGTCTTGCAGAACTATTTTTTGGTTTTTCTTGAGAGAGAGTCGCACTCTGTTGCCCAGGCTGGAGTGCAGTGGCATCATCTCAGCTCACTGCAACCACTGCCTCCTGGATTCAAGCGATTCTCCTGCCTCAGCCTCCCGAGTAGCTGAGATTACAGGTGTGCACCAAAACACCTGGCTAATTTGTTTTTATTTGTAGTGGAGACAGGGTTCCACCATGTTGGTCAGGCTGGCCTCAAACTCCTTGACCTCAGGTGATCTGCATGCCTTGGCCTCCCAAAGTGCTGGGATTCCGGGCGTGAGCCACCGCCCCGGCCATAGCCTTGCAGAACTACTTTGTCGCTCCACAGAGCTCAGTACTTAAAGCCACAGCGAAGGCGCCCAGCAGACCTTTGATTATTTCCTATGCAGCATAAAGTTCTGCTCCTCAGGAGTAAATCTGCGAATCAGAGCCTTCCTCAGGAAGACAGCTCTACAGATGACCCAGGGGAACAAGTACAAGCCGTGCGTTCCAGCACCCAGGATTTCTTGTTTCATGTCATTGTAAAGAACTCATGGGTTCAGCTATACTGTGGAGTCCTAGGTTTATTCCCAGCCTTGGCCTCAGTTGTCAAGCCAGCTGTTCCTATTCACTTGGGGGATTCAGCCCCTTCCCATTTTACCCACCAACTCCTAATCATCTCCCCTCCTCTACTCAACCATCTTTTTCTGGAAATTCTTCCTGAATAACCTAGTTTAGAGCAGTCCCCTCGTGCTAGTCTCTAAACCTTCCTGTTCTTATCACAATTTTAATCAAAGTATACTCTTGTTTTTTTCCTCCTGAGATGGAGTCTCACTCTGTTCCCCGGGCTAGAGTGCAGTGGTGCGATCTCAGTTCACTGCAATCTCTGCCTCCCAGGTTCAAGCGATTCTCCTGCCTCAGCTTCCCAAGTAGCTGGGCCTACAGGCATACGCCACCATGCTGGGCTAATTTTTGTATTTTTAGTAGACATGGGGTTTCACCATGTTGGCCAGGCTATTCCCGAACTCCTGACCTCAGGTGATCCACCTGCCTTGGCCTCCCAGAGTGCTGGGATTACAGGTGTGAGCCACCACACCCGGCCCAAAGTAGACTCTTAACCCAGGGTGGGCACACACTGCTACGATCAATGATGGTGTGAGGTAATAGTGAGTGGTGGCGACTGTGGAGGGAGTATGGCCACAGACAGGATGGCTTCACTTGGCTGCAGCAGAGACACCGGTTCTATGAGGGTGTGGACCCAGTGTTTCTGGACCTCCCATATTTTCAAAGGAAGCCAAAATTTGGAGTTTTAAAGTGAAATGCCCCCCAATATTTAAGTACTGACAATTTTTAAAAACAATGTAGGCCAAACAAAACACATAGGTGGGCCAGGCGCGGTGGCTCACACCTGTAATCCCAGCACTTTAGGAGGCCGAGGCAGGTGGATCACCTGAGGTCGAAAGTTCGAGACCAGCCTGACCAACATGGAGAAACCCCATCTCTACTAACAAAATTAGCCAAGCGTGGTGGCACATGCCTGTAATCCCAGCTACTTGTGAGACTGAGGCAGGAGAATGGCTTGAACCCGGGAGGCGGAGGTTGTGGTGAGCTGAGATCACGCCATTGCACTCCCGTCTGGGCAACAAGAGCAAAACTCCGTCTCAAACCAAAATCAGAAAACCACGTAGGTGGCTCTGAGTTTGTAGGTGGCCTGTGGTTTAATACCTTTCTCTCCCATTTAATTCAGCTCCACAGGGCACATGGCATCTCCCTCTGCTCATCACAATGTCTGCATCAAACAAATGAAAAACAAAAACATGATGGGCTCTCCCAGCAAAGCTCCAGGGTTGGAAAGAGCCCCCTGGCAGGGAATTGGCACCCCATCATGCCCATCCTCTCTTACTGCCTGCTGGAAATGCCCCCATCTCCCTTTGAGTCCTCCTCCTGGGCGACCCCTGTGAGCCCCATTAACCTCTGTCCTGAAATCATCACAATGGCCAGGGTGGCCTCAGCTCAGGGCCTCTGTGACATCACCAAGGGCCTGGCACCAGGTGCCCAGTCTCCCAGTTGCGAGGGCAAGCAAACCCATCATGAGCATCTCCCTTCCCCATCTCTGCTCACCATGTGGACGCTGAAATGGTTCCTGGTCCTGCTTCTGTGCCTCACCTGCAGCTATGCCTCTATGTTCTCTTCTCGGAGAGAGAAAACTAGCGAACCCCAGGGGAAGGTGCCGTACGGAGGGCACTTTCGGATTCGGCAGAATCAACCAGAGCACGCCCAAGGCTGGCTTGGGAGCAAATGGCTCTGGCTTTTGTTTGTTGTTGTGCTGTTTGTGATACTGAAGTATCAAAGAGACAATGAGAAGAATAAGGTAAGGATGGCTCCATTTTTTTTTTTACACCATATTGATTCAATCTCAGGAGTCTCAGGGAAACGGATGTTCTAGTGAGTCTAGGCGGGACTGTTACATATAATGAACCTAACTCATGGTCCTGGGCAAAGCTGGCAAATTCACTTCCTGATGTATCCTTCATGAAGACAATAGTCCCCAGATCCACAGATACTGGGACAAACAGTGGAAGATGACCTCTGCTTACTGGCTCACAGATTTTCTGGTTAGACGGATTTTTTCAAATGTAGGAAAGATTCAAGAACTTATGGTGTGTTTCAGAAGGTCAAAATTATTTGCAGGGCCAGATTCACTGTCCCTTGCTTTTTAAATTTTTGTTAGTGTTTGACTTACTACAAAATCCTGAGCTAAATGGAAATGGTATCATTATCCCAACAAAATATGAGACTTGTGCTGGAGAGATAAAGGTGTAAGGTAGTTTGAGCTGGTCCTCAGAGTGACCACAAACAACTCTTTCAGGTAGAAAGGGAAGGGGAGAGAAAGTGTGTTCTCCCGCAGAAAGACCCAGCACTTCATAATACTGTGTCCAAACTGATTAGAGCAGGGATCGGCAAACCCTTCCTGTAAAGGGCTGGGGAGGGTGTGAATATTTGTGGGCAGTATGGACTTCCTTGCAACTACTCAGGTCTGCTGTTGTAACATGAACTGTGTCAAAACCAGCCAAGTTCACAATATTACTGACCTTGAGTATCTTTCTTGACAGAAGCAGAGTCCTGGCCTTCGAGGCGGCCAATTTCACTCTCTATTAAAGAAAAAACAAAATGCTTCCCTCAACAAAGACTGCACATTCAATATCTTACACAAACTCGAGGTGGAGCTTGTGAGATTTGTGTCCGAAGTGCGGAGTCTTAAAGGTGCCATGGCAACAGGCAATGTCAGTAACCTCAAGCTTCGAAGGTCAGAGACGCCCACAGATCCATACCATGTCACGATCTATGACATACAGGGAGAAGAAAGCTCTAGCTGAATGGATTTGTATGTCAAAGTAGGAGAGAAAAAAGTTGAGTGTTGACAAACTGTATGCAAACTAATAAAAGTATTCTGAAGAAAAGAACTTCCACGTTTGAGATCTTGCTTCTTTTTTCACTAGAAGAAAAAGTGAATGTGAGACCAGCAGCCATAGCAGTGATGGTTTTGTTTTTGTCCCTCTCACGTCCTCTAGAGCTGTGGGTGGTGAGAAGAGCACCAAAAGCTACATAATAGTATGTGATGAGCTCGTGCTTCCGTGCAATGGCCAGGGGTGGATGACGGAGCTAGGGAAATCTGGGATAAGATGCTGACGTCCTTTCCATACAAACTCTTGTTCTCTATAGTATCTATCTGTGCAAGATACATAACTGCTTTTTATCTTTGATATATTACAAAAGACGGCTTTAATGATAGTTTTTAAATGGTAAAATGATTCAATTAGGAGGGGTGTATTCTAGAGTCATCTGATTCTCTCACAAGAGTCCTTTCACTCATTGCATTTCAAAGGTTCTATATATTGATTTTTCCTTTTACCAAACTAGCAGTTACATTTGTCAATAGTTGGATTAAAAAAAAAAAAAAGGGGGGGATGACGCAGAAGAATCGCTCGAACCCGGGAGGCAGAGGTTGCAGTGAGCTGAGATCGCACCATTGCACTCCAGCCTGGGCGACAGAGCGAGACTCTGTCTCAAAAAGAAAAAAAAAAAAAAAGGAGAGGCCGGGCACGGTGGTTCACACCTGTAATCTTAGTACATCGGGAAGCTGAAGCAGGAGGACTGATTTTTTTTTTTTTTTGAGACGGAGTCTCGCTCTGTCGCCCAGGCTGGAGTGCAGTGGTCGGATCTCGGCTCACTGCAAGCAAGCTCTGCCTCCCGGGTTTACGCCATTCTCCTGCCTCAGCCTCCCGAGTAGCTCGGACTACAGGTGCCCGCCACCTCCCCCGGCTAGTTTTTTTGTATTTTTTAGTAGAGACGGGGTTTCACCGTGTTAGCCAGGATGGTCTCAATCTCCTGACCTTGTGATCCGCCCGTTTCGGCCTCCCAAAGTGCTGGGATTACAGGCTTGAGCCACTGCACTCGGCCGGGAGGACTGATTGAGCCCAGGAGTTTGAAACCAGCCTGGGCAACACAGTGAGACCTCGTCTCTATTAAGTTAACAAAAAAGAAAAGGGAGAAAGAATTCATTCATTCTATGCCATTGGAGTTTTGGATACAAATGTGCTAACCAGGGGCTCCCAGATTAGATGACATGTTCTTTATCCTACTTATTCAAAACGTGGGCCTTTTACATGTTACTGTGGCTGATGGCATCTCTGTACATGCTTAGGTGCTTGATTTCAATTTTCCTCCCTCCTACATTCTTTATCGATTGGAATTCTGCTGTAAGAGCTGTTCCTTCGCCGTTGATTGATGAATGGATTTCAGTATAGACTTACAGGTGTCTATTTTATTCTAAATAATCTGATATTTTCATTATTTTCTGGCTCCACCTTTCCCACCTTTGGCATTAGGAGCTCCTTTGGGTTGGCACTTGTGTTCTGTGAGCAAGCCCCTTCCTCTTCTGAGCAATTCCTTACTTTCTGGCAACCCAAGACACTCCATGCTCATCTGGTTCATTGCCTGCCTTCATGCTGGAATCAGCCACTTCCCCAAGGGGTCCAGGTTCCCTTTCTTGGAGAATGGTGACGTGCCCTCCTGGAGCCAGGAGGCTCATCTTAAAATCCTTAATTTAATTCATCTGCAAAATGTCTCTTGCCACATGAAAGCAGGCCCACAGATCCCAGGAATTAGTGCGTGGGCATCTCTGGGGCCGGTACCCAGCTGACCAGTGCTGTCACCCTCACAAGCATCCAAGTCACCCAGGGCCCAGGGAAGACCAAGACCATGAGGCAGGAGGCCATGGCTTCGCAGGAGACGGAGGCAGGGCAGAGAGCAGCCCAAATGCCTGGGGCCTTAGAGGAAGGAGGCCCTGCCTCAAAGGCATAGGCACCCCTCAAGGGTCCCAACCCCGGGCCCTGAAGGGTGGGCAGCATCTTCCTGGGTGGGGCAAGGGGAATATGTCCTCAGGAAGGCGCACTTATCAGCCTGGGAAGGCAAGCTGAGCAAGGAGAAAGGCGCCAAAGAGGATCCTGGAGGTTTGTGATCGGGAAGGAGGGGCCAGGGAGCAAGGAGTGGCCAGGGCAGAGGAGAGGAGGGCCCAGCCTCCACGCAGCCCCACACAGGTCTGCCCTAAGGCCACGCCCGTGGGAGTAGCTATGCATCTACAGCCCTGGGTGCCAGCTGGTTGCTCCCAGCCTACCAGGAGCTGGGCCAGCAAACGTGCAAAGGGAAAGATCAATCCGAGGCCCCCAGCAGCAGTGATCCCAAGCGGGGTCTGCATGTGCCTCTAGTTTTCAGGGACTGCTCCAGTGAGAGAATGCTCCTGAGAACGTCCTGTGCTGCTGGCCCTGTGGCCTAAGGGAAGCTCAGGAAGACCACAGCCCCTCAAGACCTACCTGCGTCTCCCTGGGTATTCTGTCACTGGGTGGAGTGGCCGTGGCAGTGTGGCCTCTGGTGAACAAGGTGACAAGCTTCAGAGCCCGGGAGCCAGGCCCAAGTCAATTGCCCTCCGTGACTGGAGGTCTGGGAGACCCATTGCTGGTGTTACCAAGAGGCACCAGCGGGGAGGTGACACCAAGCCCAGGAAGCACAGAAGCCAGGAAGAGGGGGACGGGCAGCGACATAGAGAACTCTGACTCCCCACGCTGCCTGAGGATCTGTCCCATACAGATCTGCACAGACAATGCTCCACGACGTGAACAGCGACACTGTCTGAAATGCCCATCAAGGGGGGAACGACTGAAAAAACCTACGGGATGTCCATGCTTGGGGGGATTTGGAAATAACAAGCTAGGTCTCCCTCCAAGTGCAGAGAAAGCCGTCAATGATGACTGGAATGCCGAACAAGATCGTGCACACTCAGAAATACCCGCCATCTCCATGCATGGGCAAAATCTCAACAATACAGACACCAGGCTGGGTGCAGTAGCTCACACCTGTAATCCCAGCACTTCGAGAGGTCGAGGAGGGTGAGCTGTTTGAGCCCGGAAGTTGAAGATCGGCCTGTGCAACATAGTGAGAGCCCATCTCTACAAAAATATAAAAATTAGGCATAGTGGTTCACGCCTGTAATCCCAGCACTTTGGGAGACTGAGGCAGGTGGATCACTTGAGGTCAGGAGTTCAAGAAAGCCTGGCCAACATGGTGAAGCCCCAACTCTACTAAAAATGCAAAAAATTAGCTGGGCATAGTGGCGCAGGCCTGTAGTCCCAGCTACTGGGAAGGCTCAGGCAGGAGAATCACTTCAGCCCGGGAGGCAGAGGTTGCAGTGAGTTGAGACTGCGCCACTGCACTCCAGCCTAGGTGACAGTGAGACTCGGTCTCAAAACAAAAATTAGCCAGGCATGGTGGTACATGCCTGTAGTCCCAGCTACTCAGGAGGCTGAGAAGGGAGGATTATTTCAGCCTAGCAGTTGGAGGCTGCACTGAGCCAAGATCGTGCCACTGTACTCCAGCCTGATCAACAGAGTGAGACCTGGGCTCAAAAAATTAAAAAAAAAAAAAAAAGGCCAGGCACGGTGGCTCACACCTGTAATCCCAGCACTTTGGAAGGCCAAGGTGGGCAGATCACTTGACATCAGGAGTTCAAGATCAGCCTGGCCAACATGGTGAAACCCCATCTCTACTAAAAATATGAAAATTAACCAGGCATGGTGGCACAGGCTTGTAATCTCAGCTACTTGGGAGGCTAAGGTGGGAGGACTGCTTGAACCCAGGAGGCAGAGGTTGCAGTGAGCTGAGATCACACCACTGCACTCCAGTCTGGGCAACAAAGCAAGACTCTGTCTCAAAAAACAGTAGACACCAAACTGGTAGAAATGGTTGCTTTGAAGGAGTGGGGATATTTAGATGCGAAGACATGTTCACTTTTTACTTAATAACACTGAGCTCATTAAAAAGAAAGCTTTAAATGTATAGGTAGATGTTATGCTTTTTTTTTTTTTTTTTTTTTTTGAGACAGGGTATGGCTCTCTTGCCAGGCTGGAGTGCAGAGGCATGATTAGGGTTCACTGCAGCCTCGACCTCCCAGAGCTCAAGCGATCTCCCTCCAAAGCATCCTGAGCAGCTGGGACTAGCAGCACGTGCTACTGCACTGGGCTAATTTTTTGTGTTTCTTTGTAGAGACGGCGGTCTTGCTATGTTGCCCAGGCCAGTCTCGAACTCCTGGGCTCAAGCAATCCACCCACCTTGGCCTCCCAAAGTACTGGGATTACAGGTGTGAGCCACTGCGCCCAGCCCCAGCCTAGATTTTATAATAATAAAGATTAAGAAATTGTTCTCATCCCCATCTATAAGATGGAGATTTTAAAAAATAATAAAAAGAAAAAAAAGAGAAAACTTTCCCAAAACTATGAAAAGCACTTCTGAGAATGAAATATTAAAAATCATTTGACTTTTGTCCCAGTTCTATCGAGATTTAGTAACTGCGGACACCCCCAGGTAGATTTCCACCTACCTGCCAACATCATCCTTGCTGTTTCTTAAGGATTCAGGCACACTCAAGTAGACCAAGACACGTGCAAATCAGACCACTACTTCCCATACTTTTTGGACTCATTTTAATGGGTTGTGCGTGGCAACCCAATATGCTCACACATGCACACAAGAATCACATGCAGAAATCAAAGTTTCAAGACAGGACAGCTACTGCATGTGCCTGCACTCTGGTATTTTCGAGTTTGTTTTCTTTTTTCTTACCTAGTATAACCTAGTAAATTGAATTTACAACCCACTAAGAAGTCACAGCCTGAGGACTGGAAAACAGAGAGTTAAACCACCTCTTTGAGCGCTCTAGCTCTTCCAGAAAACCATGTTTCGCTGCAGCATCCTCAGCATGCTTCAGCAAGGAGGGAGGCAACTCAGCCCTATGTCCCCATGTTACACAGGAGACAGAACAGGGGCTCTCCGTGGACTGCCCCATTAAGTGAGTCGGAGCACTTGGACTCAGATCGCCCAAACTTCATACGATTTCCACTCGATCACACTAACTTTCCACGCGGCTTTCAAAGTCATTGCTAAGCCCTGTTTCCATAATGCCACACTCAAGTTTCAAGTGAAAATCTATTATGAAATGGAAACTTGTTTTGGAAACTACACTGCTGCAGAAAAAGCACACTGTCAAAAGTCTTCGCTTCAGGTGCAGTGGGTGGGAAGAACCTGCAGCATGCAGTCTACAGGGTAGCTGCTTTTCAAAGCGAATTTCTGGGGGCGCTGGGGGGACCACTAGAACTATCATTCAACAGTCATTTGCTGCTCTCCAGGAAACGCCAGCAGCTGCAGACAACATCTGGAATCAGAAGTGAACACCTGAGTAATGACCCTCCAGGCCATAAAGATGGTCTTCCGATGAGAAAGCCAGGGCTCCCAGACACCACGTGTCCTGCATGGAATCGCTGTCTGGCCAATGGCAGGGCCCACGAGGAAGCCTGGGACTTTCAAGGACGGCCCCGCACTATTCTAAAAATGTTTTCACCATCAATACCCACTTGAATGGGCCCATGCCTGTGGGAAGGCACTATCAACTCACACCAATTCCAAAGGAAGAAACCCAGGCTCAGGGGCTTCGCAGTGAAGACAAGCACATAGCCCCGCCCCCCGAAAACCACGCCCCAGACTAGAGTGTGAGATCCTCCACTGGACAGACCCCGTGGCTCCTCCTCAGGATCCTAGAACAGGCTGCTCAGTGACATGCGCTGAAGGGGGCAGGGACAGGCGCTGGGAGATCCTGCCCGTGCAAAGTCCTCTCAGGAAGCAAACCACATTTCCAATCTGCTGAACCACGCTCAGTAAAATAAAATCCAGGCTAATCAGCTATGCCCTCAACTCAAAAGGAATCTGAAGAGTACATAAGTTAGTTACACGTTGTAACCAAAGCAGTTAGGGAGAGCTTCTGAGATGACGAAAACCAAGGGAAAGGGGATGGAGATGAACAAAAATGACCTCATTAAGCCAGAGGCAGGAGAAGCCACACCACTTCCGGAAAAGTGTAACAATAAGGCAAGAACTCAGGTTCCCAGGGAGAGGGACATGGACTGAGGTTGACTTGGTGCCTGCAAGCAAATTCCTTAACTTCCCTGCCCTCTTGGCACCTCATGCCCGACACAGCCTCTGGTATTGGGACGGCTGTGGTATCAGTGGGCTGCTCTCCTTCAGGCCGGCCTTGCTGTCCACGCAGGGATGCAGGCAGTCACTCGGGTAGACTTTCTAAGGCTTCCAATGCCCAAGGGCTGCACAGGCATCCTTCAACGAAGACAGATGCTTGGTGGCTGGGCCCGGGGCCGGAGCGGTGACCAGGCCGAGCTGCCCCTGTGGCGCGCCGGGCTCACCTCGTCCTCCTTTGTCGTTGCAGATGCCGCGGACCTAGTCCTGCGGGTTACTGTCGAACATGCAGTCGATGATGCCCTTCACCATCTTGAGGGCCATCACGGCGGCCCACGGGCTTTTGCCCCGGGAGGCCCGCGACCAGTCGCCGTGAGGGGGTCCGGGGGCCGCGCCCGCCGCCCGTGGACCGCTGCACTGCCGGCTCCTGCGGCGGGGCAGGCTCCCAGGCCAGGGCGGCGGCGTCCGAGGACTGCGGCAGAGGCGGCGACCCGCTAAGCACGGTCCGCGATCCCACTCCGGGACACTTGCAAACGGCGAACATGATGGCGGCGGGTCAGCTGACCGCAAGCGTCCAGTCCCAGCCGAGCCGGCCCCAGAAGCCCCGCCTTCCAGTAATGCCCGCCCCCAACTCCGGGACACCGCGTTTCCCTGACGACGACAGGTAACCCAATGGAAATGTGGACACTGCCCTCTCCGGCGCACGGCCCCGCCTTTTCCGGCCCAGAACTCTGCGCTCTCATTGGTCACTGGCTTCCGCCACTCCACCCTTTTCCTCGTTCTGGGTTCTGGCTACGCCCCTTAGAGACTGGTTCTGACCCTGCCGTCAGCTGACAGGTGTGGGCGTCGCTGGGTGTGGGCGGGCCCTGAGGTGGGCGGGGCGCCCACGTGGAGCTTAGCTGTTAAGTTCCCGTGGAAGAACAGAGCTCTGCCTTTTCTGAATGTAAAAGCTGATGCGGCATAAGAGCCGCCAAACCCAACGCTAAGGTGGGGGGAACGGATCCTGTGGTTTCCGCAGCTTCACAAAATCTTGTGAAATGGGCAAGACAGGGAGTAACATGCCCAAAGGAAGAAAATAAGGCCAGAGGCAGGACTTCAACATAATCATTCATTCAATAAACATTTGTCGAGGGCTTGTTGCGTTCCACGCATGGTAAGGGGCGCTGGGCATTCAGCAGTGAATGAGATATACCGAGTCCCTGCCCTCCGAGATACATCATTAAGACTAAAAAAAAGCTTTGGAGGCTGAGGCAAGAGGATCACTTGAGCTCAGGAGTTCAAGACGAACTGGGCAACATAGTGAGAACACAGTTCTACACACACACATTAGCCAGGCATGATGGTGCACGCCTGTAGTCCCAGCTGCATCAGAGGCTGAGGCAGGAGGATCGCTGGAGCCCGGGAGGTCAAGGCTGCCGAGAGCTATAATATCGCCACTGCACTTCAGACTTCGGCCTAAGCAACAGAGCAAGATTCTTATTCTTTTTTTTTTTTTTTTTTGGAGATGGAGTCTCACTGTCACCCAGACTGGAGTGCAGTGGCGCAATCTCGGCTCACTGCAACCTTCGCCTGCTGAGTTCAAGCAGTTCTCCTGCCTCCTGCCTCAGCCTCCCGAGTAGCTAGGACTATGGGTGTGTGCCACCATGCCTGGCTAGTTTTTGTGTTTTTAGTACAGACAGGGTTTCACTGTGTTGGCCAGGCTGGTCTCGAACTCCTGACCTCAGATGATCCACCCGCCTTGGCCTCCCAAAGTGCTGGGAATACAGGGTGAGCCACTGTGACCCGCCAAGATTCTGTCTTAAAAAAAAAGAGAAAAGGCCACGTGCGGTGGCTCACACCTATAATCCCAGCATTTTGGGAGGCTGAGGCGAGTGGATCACTTGAGGCCAGGAATTTGAGACCAGCCTGGCCAACACGGCGAAATCCCATCTCTACTGAAAATCCAAAAATTAGCCGGGTTTGGTGGCATGCACCTGTAATGCCAGCTACTCAGGAGGCTGAGGCAGGAGAATCGCTTGAAACCGGAAGGCGGAGTTTGCAGTGAGCTAAGATAGTGCCACTGCACTCCAGCCTGGGCAACAGA